ACCAGCTATTGTAAAGGGGGCTGGCCTAGCCTTGAACCCACAGAGATTTGCCCCCCCCCCCCCATTAAAGGTTTGCACCACCACCGCCCGGCTACCCCTCATTTTTTATTTTTGAGATAGGCTCATGTTGCCTAAGATCACATTGAGCTGATTCTCTTGCTTCTACCTCTCAAGTACACTGACATGTTTCTTATTTAAAATCTAAAATCACTTTCAAGTTTTTAAGAACTTAAAATTGCCAGGTAAAAATACTTTTTGACAATGTGGCCAAATAAATAAAATCCCAAACTTTTTATGAACATCCACTCTTTGTTCCAGGAAATTCCTCTTTTGTTTGAAGTTCAGCATTTCCTTTCAAGGCTTTAGATTTCTTGGTAAGCCTAAAGTTTAACTCAAGGCTGGACTGAGGTTTGTTTCATATAACCCATCCACTTCCCTCTACAGGAAATTTTGGCAGCCGACCACACAGTGGCAGGAAGTGCAGAGATTTGGACAGGTTCCCAGGGCAAGGTGTTCTTTGAGTAGTAAGCCTTTATCCCAGCGGGGCTCTTCAAAGGGTTCCTGAGATAATAGGGAACTCACAAGTTCCATAGCCTGGTCTTGGGGGTGGAAGCAGGGAGAAACCACTTTAGTTGAGTAATCTGGGGCTGTGGCTCAGTGTTATGGACTGTAATTGCTGGATAAGGGGTGGTCACAGCTTGGCACTCTGGCCTGATTTCCTGAACACCTTCAGGTGGAGGGAAGGCCACTGCAAAACTTGGCATTGTGTGGGGGATAGGAGCATGTCTAGGTCTCTCCTTGTCTTGGGAGCTTTAGGAAGGGTTCTCTGTAGAGGCTTAGGGTGGCTGGGCTTAAGCATCCTTCCTCAGCCTGGTTTTGAAGACCTTTTCATAGAGATAAGTATCTGCTCCTCGCTTTCCCATCCCATACCCAGGCATATAATGTGATAGTGTATGGCATGCCTCTGGCCTACAGCCTGCTTTGTAGCTCCCGATTCTTAGTCTTGTAAATGAGCTGTGGCATGAGAGCTGCTGAAGGTTTGTTTCATTGCCAACATCTTTTTCCTCAGGACGCAGCCTCCTCCTAAGCTCCCCGTGGGCCCCAGTCACAAACTGTCCAACAATTACTACTGCACTCGTGATGGCCGCCGGGAAGTTGTGCCTCCCTCAGTCATTATGTCTTCACAGAAGGCCCTGGTGTCGGGCAAGACAGCTGAGAGGTGAGGACCCTCTGTCTTCCCCTTCCCTGCCCACAGCTCTGCAGCACTCCTTCTGCCCCTGGCCTTCCCTCCCCTGCCGTGGAAAGGGGCTTTCCACAAACCCATTTTATCAGCTAGGTGGTTGGACAAACATGAGATCCCTGCATTTGGGAGTAAGCCCCTTGCCTTGTAAGCACCGAGACCTGAGTTTGATCCTCAGAATCTACATTAAAAAAAGCCAAGCCCGGTAGTGTGCTTGTGACCCCAGTGTTGGGGAGGTACAGACAGACTGAGGCAGGAAGTTTGCAAGTTCTTGTCAGTCTGGGTGATATAGTTAGGGGCAGGTAAGATGTCTAAATGGGTAAGGCACTTGTTGCCTAACTTGATGACTTGAGATTGATCACCTGGATCCATGTGCTGGAAGCAGAGATTTGGTGCCTGCAAATTTTCTTCTGACTTCTACACATGTGCCCTGGCATGCTCCTAGCCCAGTAAATTAATCCAAAAAATAACGATGATGATAAAAGAACCCCAAAGGAACCCAAGAGAAAAAAGCCTCTTTGGTTCCTATCCTCAGGTACTGAATGAGAGTGACAATAGTATTTCATAAGGTCATAGAAGGCCTAGTCTGGAATGAGTTTCTGCACTAGATCCAGCAGGCCAAGACAGAACAGACACTTGGGAAGCTTAGATGTTCATCTAGCCTTCTGAGAAATCAGGTGAAAGATCATAGCCAGTTCCCTGGCAAACCAGTTTTAGCTGGCATGATACAGAAGTCCCATCTGGTTTAGCCTTTGTAAGGAAGGTAACTTTGCACTGACTAGTCTTTTTGTTTGGCTTCTGCTTCCTTCAGCCCTATCCTGTCTATAAAGCCAACCTCTTCTGCTGTATTTATCGATTTTTGTTTTGTTTTAGAGAATGAGGCGTGAGGGTTGGCGATACTGCAGCATTTAAGAGCACTTGTTGATCTTGCAGAGGACATGGGTAGGGTTCCCATGGCAGCTCATAACTTTCTTTAACTCCAGTTCCAGGAGATCTGATGCCCTATTCTGGCTCTACAGGTACCAAACATGCAAGTGATACACACACACACACACACACACACACAGAGGCAAATTACCCATACACATAGACATACCCATACACATAGACAAACACACATAGCATGTTTTTTGTTCTATGTTCACATAGAACAAAAAATTGAATGAAGAATGAAGTGTTAAGGCCAGATGCAGTGGTACACATCTTACATCCCAGTACTCAAAAGGCAGAGCTGGAGGATGGCTACAATTTGGAGGCCAGCCTGGTGTACATACTGAGTTCTAGACCAACCAGGACCCTGTCTCAAACAAGCAAACGGCAAACAAACCAACAGACCCAACAAAAAGGGGCTGGAGCGATGACCCAGTGGTTAAGATTTTGTAATGCTCTTGAGGGGAACAGTTCTGTTCTCAGCATTTATGTCGATGGGCTTACAACCTGTAACTCCAGCTCCAGGGGATTCAGTGCCCTGTACTAGATTCCACAAGTATATGTACTCACACATGAACCCTTCCCCACTCTCCTTACATGTTATTGTAAAAATGCTGAGGTGAAGTTCTTGCAGAACCTGATTTTGACCCCCAGAATCTATGGGGAAAAAGCTGATTACAAGATTTACATTTGTGATCTCAGCATTGTGGTGGCCTGCTGGCCTCCTAGCCTAGGAGAGTTCTAGACCAAGCAAGAGTTCTTGACTCAAGGAAAAGGTGAATGCTGCTTGAGTTTTTCCTCTGACTTCCACATGCATGTGCACACCCACATTGACCCCCCCCCCCCAAGAAGCATGCATACACAGAGTGAGATACTAATTCTGGGGTCACAAAGAAAAGCCACTTAAAGATAGAGTATGTGCATTGTACTTTTGTCTTGTGAACATAGCTTTTCCTTAATGAGCTGATTCCTGATAACTCTTGTAGAATAGAGAATTGATGCCCAGACAGGTCAACAGCTTGGGCCATCCAGGCAATTTCATTGAGATCCTAAGACACTCCCCAGCCTTTTCTTTTTATTCAAGATTTTTTTTTTTGTTTTTTTTTTTTTTGTGGGGGCCCACACCTTTAATTCCAGTACTTGGGAGGCAGAGACAGGCAGATCTCTTGAGTTTGAAGCTAGCCTGGTCTAGAGGGCAAGTTCCAGAACAGCCAGGCCTACACAGAGAAACCCCGTCTTGAAAAAATAAATAAAAAGAACAGTTAAGATTACTTTAAAAGAACCTGTTTCCTTTTGTGTATATGGATGTTTTGCCTGCAAATAGATCTTTGCATCTCATGCATGCCTGGTAACTGCAGAGACCAAAAGAGGGTATCTGGTCCCTTGGAACTGGAATGGAATTACAGTCAGTAGTGAGTGCTAAAAACCAAACCTGTGTCTTCTGGAAGAATATCCCATGCTCCAGCTCCAAGACTTATTTTTATTATTTTTAATACATGTGAGTAGGTCTGCATATGAGTGCATTTGCCCTTGGAGGCATATGTCCTCAGATCTCCCTGCAGTTACAGGTTCTTGTGAGTCACCTCATGTGTGTGATGGGAACTGAACTTGAATCTTCTGTAAGGACAGTAAGGTGGATGACTGCTGAGCCATCTTTTTAGCCCTATGTTAAAAAAAAAAAAAAAGTTTGCCAGTTGTAGCGATGTGCGCCTTTAATCCCAGTCCTTGGGAGGCAGAGGCATGGAGAGCTCTGTGGATTTGAGGCCAGCCTGGTCTACAGAGAGAGTTCCAGGACAGCAAGAGTTACACAGAAAAACCCTGTCTCACAAAAAAAAAAAAAAGACCAAAAATGTTTATTTTGTGTGTGGTTTGTCTTATGTGTATGAGAGGGGAGAAGAAGAGAGGCGACAGAGAGAGATGGAGTGAATGGTGTACACATTATAGAGTGTGTGGCTGTCAGAGGACAGGTTTTGGGAGTTGCTTCTCTCCTTTTATCTTGTTCAAGCAAGGTTTTGTTTGTTTCTCCTGCTGTGCTAAAGGCTAGTTGGCCCATGAACTGGCTCGGCCTCTCATCTCTTTGTAGGAGTGTTGGGGTTACAGATGCATACCACCATGTACAGCTTTTTATGTAGGTCCTAGGGATCAAATTTAGTTTGTCGGGGTTACACAGCAAGCACTTTTTACCCACTAAGCCACCTCCCAGCCATCAGCCTGCTTATTATTTTCTTTTACTTTTTGAGAGAGAGTTTGCATGTAGTCCAGGTTGGCTTTCTATTTACTATGTGTCTGAGAACTTGAATTTATAATTCCCCTACCTCCAACTCCCAAATGCTGACAGGGATGTGCTACCACACTTGGTTTATGTGATGCTGGGAGTTGAGCTCAGGGCTTTTGGCATGCTAGATAAACACTGTAGTTGTTCAGGCCATGAGGCTGGATATCTCAGCTGGTCTTCAGTATAGGTGGGAATCCTGAAGTAGGCTGTAAATCCAGACTTGGTAATGAGAGAGAAAGTAGGCAGAGAGAGCTTCCTTCTTCCGTGTCCTTATGTAGGCTGCTGCAGGAGGTGGGGTGGGTTGTCCCATCTCTAAAGATCTGGATTAAAGGTTTATCTTATCACCTCAAAGATCCAGGTTAGAAGTGGGTCTTCCAGCTTCAAATGATTTAATTAAGAAAAAAAAAAAAAACCTCACAGGTGTGCCCACTCACTTGGGTTTTAGTTAATTCCAGATATAGTCAAGTTGACAACAATCAATAGTCATCATAGCATGTTTCTCCATGCCCAGCCTTGTCTTTATATTTTTTATGAGATGGATAGTACTGATAGACATTACTATTTTGCCTTGGCTGTCCTTGAACTCTTGGACTCAGGGTATCTAATCTAGTTGTTTGCTTTTTAAGTAGTTGGCACTATAGGTGCATGCCACTTAAGTTCTTTTTTCTTCCCTGATATTTTTAGAAAAGGTCTATGTAGCCCAGTCTGGTCTTTTTTTTTTTTTTTTTCCCAAGACAGGGTTTCTCTGTGTAACAGTCTTGGCTGTCCTGGAACTCACTTTGTAGACCAGGCTGGCCATTCTGGTCTGTTCTTAAGTGCTGGGATTGTCTGTTTACATTTCATACTCTGCTCCAGCAGCTCAAGGGCTAGCCTTATGTCACTAGTACTGTGCCTGTGTACACCTGCTATGGAGTGCTTGTGCGGTACTTACTCCCTGAAAAAGAACAGTGGATAACCGTTACCCAATGAATGAACATGAAGACATGACTGCTCCTAGGTTTGGTTGAGAAGGTTTGTAGATACGAGGGAGAATTCAGCCAGAGGCATCCAGAAAGGTATAGACTGAACATGGCCAGAATGGACTGGGCCATGAGAGGGGAGAGAATGAGAGAGGTGGAGAAGAGGGGGAACCTGGGCCGGAGAGGGAGGCAAATCCAGAGAGTGGAGCCAAAAGAGTGCTTGGTGGAAATGGCTGGGTTGTATTGGGAAGGAAAGCTGGGAGAAGGGCAGTGAAACTCAGGCTTGGCAGAAGTTTAGGGGGTAGGGGGTGGGGTGGAGGTGGGGTGGGTGAGAGGTTGTGGGTGAGAAAGAGGAGGGGAGCCTAGGGAGCCTGGCTCCAGAGTGGGCTTTGATATGTTATAGGTACCTCAGTTAGCCAGTTGTCCCAGGCTTCTTTGGGACCTAACACAGCATCCTGCTCTGGAGTCTGTCCACACTGGGGTGGAGGATTCCAGCTATTCAAGGCTGGGCTCTGGACTGGCAGTCAGGGCAGGCTGACTGAAGCTTTTCATGGCCCCTGCCAGCTCAGGGACTTCATTGGGACAGGATTGGGTATTCTGAGATACATTCCCTCTGCGCTCCATATCCAGAAAGCCCAACCGGTGTGCTAGTGGCAGGGTGGGCATGACCACCTTTACAAACGAGGGAAATATGGGTTAGAAAGACCAAGTACCAGGTGGATCTCTGAGAGTTTGAGGCCACTCTGGTCTTCAGAGTGAGTTCCAAGACAGAAAGGGCTGTTATACAGAGAAACCCTATCTTGAGAGAGAGAGAGAGAGAGAGAGAGAGAGAGAGAGAGAGAGAGAGAGAGAGAGAGAGAGATTGATTGTTTAAGTAACTGCAGCATTTAAGGTCCTTCCCCATTGCTAACACAGAGACCACAACCAGACAGTGCAGAGAGTGGAACTTTCAGTTCTATATGGGATGCCTTCATTATACCCCTTCCCCAGGGCTCAGGGAACTGTGCAGAAGGAAGAGGCTAAAAGATTGAAAGAGCCAGTAGGTATGCAGGACACCAATGAAGCAGTGCTTTACAGACACAGCAAGACTGACATCCAGTGACCTCACAGAGGCTGGCAACATGCACAGGACCTGCACTGAGAGGGGAGCTAGACATGAGCCCCATTCTTAACCCAGTACTTGTTTCCAGTTGACAGCTGCTTGCAAAGGAAAAATCACTTAAGGGTAGTCTCCATGCACAGCAGTAGATGGCCAACACGAAACAAACTCTCATAGTGCTTTGTTTGGGCATTTTTTAATCTTACAGGTATTTTGTTTATGTATTATGGTTTCCAATTTTGGGTTTTATGTGTGCTTCTGTGTGTACATGTTTTTTTTTTTTTTTCTTTTTGGTTTTGATTTGATAGTTTTTTTTTTTTATTTGCCAGTTTTATAAAGAGAAAGAAGGCATGGAGTTGGATCAGTGAGAGAGGTAGAGAAAATCTGAGAGAGGAGATGAGATGAGAGAGGAAACTGATCAGAATATGTTGTATAGAAAAAATTATTTTCATTAAATAATAAAATGGAAAACAATAAACAAAAAGTTCCCTCCCCAGTATTCTCTGCAGACCTAGCTCTAACAGGATTTGTCTTTTTCTTGCAGCTCAGCTGTGGCTGACACTGGGAAGAAAGCAGTGACGCCTGGTCCTCCAATGAAGAGGTGGGAGCTGTCCAAAGACCAGCCATACCTGTGACACTGCTCCAGACTGCTTTGCCGGGTCCTCATGGCCACCTGACTGCTTTTCCTCCTTGGATTTCCTCTGGGGAGAGTGTGACCTAATTTGTAACAAATATACAGAGCTCACATTACTTCCAGTGTGTCTTTTCTTAGTATTGATTGGATCTGTTGTTGTCTGTGAGGGTGTGTGAGTACATGCTGCAGGGTGTATGGCGGTGAGAGGACAACTTTGGGAATTGGTTTCTCCCTCCACCTTGTTGAGGCAGGGTCTTTTGTTTTTGCCATGCTGTGAACTTCAGGCTAGCTGGCTCAAGAGTTTCTGGGTGGTGCTGCTCTCTGTTCCTCTCATCCTGCCATAGGAGTGATGGGATTACAGGTTTGAGCCACACTGCATGTCATTTTTGGGTTCTGGGAATGGAACTCACATGCCAGTCTTTTGAAGCTAGCACTTTTACTTGTGAGCCATCTTGCCAGCCCCCCCAACCCCCTTTTAAGATGAGGTCTTGGTGGGTGGTGTTAATCAACACTTAAAACCTCTGCACGTAGTAAGCTAGTAGGTGAATATCATTGCTGTCCTGTGCAGTGACCCTGTAACTGATCTATGGAAAATGTGTGAATAAAACACTGACTTGAGGGTAGTGGTACATGACTCTTAACTAACCTCAGTACTGAGGAGGCTGAGGCAGGAGGATTGCCAGTTTGAGGCCAGCTTGGGTTATAGATTGAGAACCTATCTCGGTGTAACAAACAGCACTGCCGCCGCAAGAAAGGGTGGATAGCATGTTGAAGCTGAGAGCAAGGGGAGAAAGGTCACAACCCTGACCAGGTGTCAGTGTCCCAGAGTGAGTTGCAGATGCCTCAGCTGCAGGCTTCACTGACGATGTTGGACTTGGTTGGGGAAAAGGACAAGCTAGATTCAGAAAGGAGGTCAAAGGGAGAGGAACAGTGGCCAGTGTCAGAGGCCACTGGGAAGGCAACCAGAGAGCTCCTAGAGGCCCCAGGCAATATGTGGCATTGAAAATTTCTGTGTCATTTTAATGACTCTGACGAAATCCCATGCAGGAGTTGTGTGGGGAAGAGGTCTGAATTCTTTCTGGGGCTAAGAACTGTCTTGAATGATTCATGCTCATTCCTGTACCAGGGACTGTTCATATTGGTTTTCTTTTTTCTTTTTTTTTTGGGGGGGGGGTTCGAGACAGGGCTTTGGAAGTCTTTTTTTCTTTTAAGTTTTTCAAGACAGTTTCTCTGTGTAGCCCTGGCTGCCTCATTCTGTAGACCACACTGGCCTCAATCTGCCTGCTTCTGCCTTGAGTGCTGGGATTAAAAGGTATGTGTTGCTATGCCTGGCCGGTTTTTCTTTTCTTTTCTTTCTTTCTTTTTTTTTTTTTTTTTTTTTTTTTTTTTTTTTTGAGACAGGGTCTCACGTAGCCCAAGCTGGCCTCAAGTTGTCTGTGTGTTTGAGGATGACCTTGGGACTTCAGATCCTCCTGCCTCTGCCTCCCAATGGTAGGATTACTAGTGTGTGTCCTCACCCCTGGTTTATAGGATGGGGATGGGAGGCACACTCTACCACTGAGCTCCATCTCCAGTCCACACTTGGAACTTATTAAGTAGCCCAGGTTGCCTTTGAAGTTACTGAAGCCCTCCTTCCTCAGCCTCCATGTTCTGAGGTTACAGGAGTTAGTGTCCATGGGTGGCCTCACCTCTCAAGCAGTTCTGGGAGGCCGTCTTTGAAGCTAAGCATTGTCTTAGGGTCATTGAGAACTGGCTGTGCACTCTGGGCAGTTTGCAAATACATTGCATGGCTCTGTGCAAATCCAGGGTCTGCCCAATGCTCAGGATACCTCCTCCACCAAGATCCTGAACCTCAAAAGCATGATGCTCCCCTCCCTTTCCTGGGCAGTCCTATTTATCCTGTTTGCCTATTACTTCCTTTGCCTCTAGAAATTGGTGAGACAATACACACCAAAAGCAGTTATAACCTTAATGTTTTATAGGAGGGAGACAGGCCATCCATCTGCAAATAGAACCTTTGCGTGAAATTCTCGACTTGAAGGCTACATTTTGGAAAACTTGCCCTCTGAGGGACAGTGACTTGTCCCCAGCCCTGCTGGGAGGTAGTGTCACAGATTCTGAAGGTAGAACTGTGGGAAACAATGAAGAAGAAAACACTGAGCTGGGTGTGTTGGTACATGACTTTCCCCAATACTTAGGAGGCCAAGGCAGGAGGATCACCAGTTTCAGGCCAGGCTGTTATGCACTGCCATCCCCAAATCACTAGCCATAGTGGAAAACAGACTTAACGTACCCACTGTAGGCAAGTTGGATGAGAGAACCCAAAGGCCGCCAATCCTGTATCTATCTCCTACGGCCCAAGGATGAGGATGTCAGAAAAAAGTCTCTGAAGTCTAAGAATTTGACAGAATCAGGTTGGGATGGAATCTAAGTGGATGAGACAGCTCAGGTTGGAAGCCAGTAACTATGTTCAGTCGTTCATCCCATCCTTCATTGCATGTGCCAGGGATCAGCAACCCAACATCCTGACACATCTACAGCTGGCATTCTAGTGGATAATTAAATAATAAAACACCAAAGCAGCTGGAGGAGGGACCTGCTGGGGGAGTGTCCACAGGGTGTGGCTGCCATATTCATTGGGACCATTGGGCAGTTATATTTCCAGCAGTTTGCATGTGACGTCGAGGTCGAAATTGATAAGTTCATTTATAGCTCTGGAAGTTTATTATTTCAAGTTGATGAGGTTATTTCCCTCTTATTCCTGGGGATTAAACCTAGAGCCTCCCGATTACTTAGGCAAGTGTTCTACCATTTAGCTATTCCCCTGGTTCCTGAGTGAGTCCTATTCTGAGATAGGGTCTCCTCTAATTGCCTAGGTTAGCCTTGATCTTGTGATCCTCTTCCTCACCCTGTAGAGTGAGTAGCTAGGAATACAGGCCCAGGTCACCAAACCCATCAGACTACTGGGAAAAAAGCTGGGAAAGAGCAGTAAATTCCTCGTTCCCTTGTATTCTGGCACTTACGACCGAGGCTCGCAGGTGCCACTCCCCTGCCTTTATGTGCGCGTGCGCGAGAGTCAGAGCGCGTCCCTCAGACTGCGTGCAGTCGCGGCTGGAGCGGTACGGCTAGCGGTTGGATGGCGCGGGGCGGAGCAGAACGGGCAGCGGCCCTGGGCCTGGCGCTGCGACTGTTGTTTGGTCTTGGACTAGGTCTAGAGGCTGTCCCGACTCCGACCCCGACCCGGGCACCAGCCCTTGCCCTGACCCAGGTCCAGGTCTCGGGTGAGTGACCCCCCGTCCCCACACCTCTTTCGCCCCGCCCCCGCGCCATGGCATCGCCTCACTATTGGTTGTGCCACCCATCCGTCTCAGACACTCCTCCAGCACGCGGGATTGGATTTAGCGTGGGGGAAAGCCAGCCCTGCCTGATGTGTCTGCTAAGGGGACTTCTGCGGGGGTGTCTCCTGTCTTCTGCTGCCCTGTGTCCAGCTTCCCGCTTCAGCCCTCTCTGTCCTCATGTCACCTCCAAGCCGTCCTTCAGCCCAGCGTGGGCAGGAAGACTTAAACTTTGTTTCTGATTTTGTTTGACCTCTTACCATGCACCTTCCTGCAGCAGGTGTGTAGCTTCGTGAAACCCTCGGCCGTGAGCATGAAGTTCTGTGGCTGTCCTTTGAGCATCCAGAGCTTCGGTTTCTCCTTGGATTCCTGCCCCAGAGAATGGGAGAAAGGGCCCTGGAGTGTATTTCACTTGTGAACCCCATACGTGGTTAGGTGCCTGCCCTGGGCAAGAACAGGATGTCCGTTCTGTAGGACCGTACACGCTACAGAAAAATAGGCTACTCTATAGGAAAATAGTGTAGTTTTGTTTTAGGTTTTTATTATGTTTTGAGTTTCTTTGAGATAGGGCCTCACTTTGTAACTCTGGCTGACCTGGAACTCGCCATGTAGACAAGGGTGGGCTTTAACTCCTAGAGATCGGCTTGGCTCTGCCTCCAGAGTGCTGGAATAAAGGCAGGCACTGGCTCTTATTTTTGAGACAGGGTCTCACTGTGTGACACAGGCTGGACTGCAGCTTGTACCTCCCGCCTTAGTCTCCCCAGCACAAGGATTATAGGTATGGGCCACTTCATCTAGCAGACTGTTATGGATCTGTAGAGTACCAGCTTCATCCCACTTTTGGCTTGGTCTGTAGCTCCAAGCAGTCCTCTTGTCCCAGTGTTCCAAGAGCAGGAGTTACAGGTGAGCACCGTGATGCCTGGCCTTTGTGTTCACCTTACAGATGAGGAAACAGGCCGAGAGAAGGAATCATGGATCATTCTGATTCCTGTCTGATAAACTGCCTAATGAGGCAGGGGCTGCTCTGCTCTGGGCCCACTCCAAGGAAATCCAGAAGGTCAGGGAGAGGAGGTCTGAATTGTCAGGACTGTGAGTTGTTAGGTATGGAGAGGAGGCTATGCTTGAGGCCAGAAATGAAGGTGGCCAGGGCTTGTCCTTGGTCCTTCAGCTCCATCAAGTGTGTGGTATGCAAGAGTAATTGTGTTTGACCACAGGGAGAGGAAGGAATGGGTCTTGGAAGCCCTGTGTGTGAGGTGGGAAGCTCTAGAGCCCCCCCCCCACCTTCCTTCTTGCTGGTTCAAGTACCAGGTCCCTTTACTGCCTGCCCCTCTAGATCAGCAAATAGCCCTAGCCTCCCTGTTTAGAGTCTAGGAAAAGCTTATATTTCATCTGGACTCAATGACCTCTTGTCCACACACTGTCAGGCACTGACCTGGGCAGGGTCATGAGGCCATGTCTCTGACCTTCCAGTCAATAGGAGGACTTCTGTTAGTAGTTAGGGGCTGTTATTTGTGGGCAGCAGAGCTTCCTGGGATGCATGAGACACTGCCCAAGAAGTAAGCTGAGATCTGAAGGCCGCAGAAGAATCACAGGTGTAGGGTAGAAGGATGGGGCAGAGAATATTTGGGGTATCACTCAGTGCCAGAATGTTTGCCTAATGTGCAAAAGGGTCTAGATATTCCCCCTTCACCTGGATATAGAGCGGAAGAAAGGGAGGGAAGGGCCTTTAGGCTGAGGGAGGCACATGCAAAGGCCCTGTGGTGAAATGAGCCAAGTCTCTCAGATGAACTGAGGAGAAGGCAGGGAGTGTGAGTGTGATGAAGCAGGAAGGGATTTAGATTTGGTTGTGAGAGAATCTGGGTGCCAGGGACCAGTGGGTGATAAGAGTAGGCACTTGAGAGGGCTCTGATGCTCTGTCCTGGTAGAGATTAGGTTCTAGGGGTCTAGGTTAAGAGGTGACATGTTTAGGTCACACAGACTGTTTTAACCTGGGAAGAACTTAGGTGATGAGACAACAGGACTTGGTGACTAGGCATGCTCACTTGTTTTAAGGCAGAGTCTGCCTATGCAGTCCTGGCTGACTTGGAACTCAGCATTCTCTTGTGTCCAAACTCCTGAGTGCTGAGATTATAGGTGTACACTACCATACCTGGCTTTTGGGCAGGTGTTCTGCCCAGGGGCTCAGTCTCCTCTTTGCTGAGCAGGTGGGTTAGAATAGGTCCCATTGACCTTGATCCTGAGCCTCTTGCAGAGCATGTTGGGGGATGACTCCTCCCTCAGCCCATTTAAACACGAGTTTGGGGGTCTTCTGTGTAGACTGGCCATTTGGAGCCCAGTAGAGTCTCAAGGGTCAGTGAGACCAGGGTTTGAGTCCTGACTTGTCACCAGCTCTGTGTGCTCATAGAGCTTTGATAGACTGGAGATTGTAGCACCAGTTTAACTACCTAGTGAAACGTATGAACTTCCAGGGCCCAAACAACACATATATAGTGCTCTGCAGAGGGTGGCTGCCAATGTAGTTTCTGTACCCTCCTACATGGCTTGTCTCTAGTTGATTGCAGCTCATACCC